GAACCTTATTCTCTGTGACTTCTGGGATTTCGCAGAATTAATGTAATTCAAACTTGGAAAGGACTTTAGAACTCGCTGAAAGGTACTCCACCCTGATGAAAAAAAGGTCAAAGACTTGAAGGGAAGCAGCTGAGTCTTCAGTGAGTGAGGGGATAGTTAGAGGATGCTGGAGGATTTCTGGCTGCCTGTCCAGTGCCGTGTTCACTACAGCAGGAGTTGGCACACTACAGCCCGAGGGCCCAATCCAGTCCAACACGTTTTTGTAAATAAAGTTTTATTGGAACATAACCACACCCATTCGTTTGTGTTGTGTATGGCTACTTTCATGGTACCACGGCCGAGTTGAGTAGTTTCCACAGAGACCACATGGACTACAGAGCCAAAAATATTTATTATCTGGCCCATTACAGAAAAAGTATGCTAACCCCTGAGGCTATAGCATTCTCTGCCAATCCTGGTTGAACCTTAGAATCACCATAAACAAAAATACAGGTTGCTGGGCCACACTGTAACCAGACTAGTTGCCATGTGTAGTACTGTGCTGCACAGGGTGATTTTTCAGAAGCAGATTGCCAGGACTTTCTTCTGAGGCACCTCTGGGTGGACTTGAACTTCCAACTTTTAGTTAGCAGTTGGGTGCTTAACTATTTGTACCACCCAGGAACTCTGGGCTACACTCTATACTGTCTCATTCCCAATCTTTCAGGAAGGGATCCAGGAATCAAAAGTTTTGAAAAGGTGAGTCTAATGCTCAGCCAGGTTAAGAATCGCTGCATTACATCATGCTGCCTCTAAAGCACATTGCCATAACAACGCACTGGTAAGCCGGGTACAACATGAACCTTCGCTAGTATCAGACTCCCCAGAGAACTTGTTAGAAGCAATTGCTGGGTCCCACCCTCAGAGATTCTATCAGCAGGTGTGTGGTGGCGCCGGAGAACAGGCATTTCTAACAAGCCCCAGGTGTTGTTGATGCTGCAGAACCCTGAACCCCACTTTGCGTAGCACTGACCTAGACCACAAGGGCTTGCGGCTCTACTAAGAGGTCAAGTCCTCCGAGCCACGGGGTCAAGATAGGAGGTATATTTACAGACCAAACACGGGAGTTGTCCCAGACCACACTGTGAAGACCTCCATGCCTCTGCTCCAATCAGCGTTGCCCCTGCCCCCCCCCCCCCCCCGGTCTAGCTCCTTGTGGTTACAACCGCCCTTGTTCTGGGTCTCTACTCCTATATAGGTTTTCTTTTCCCGTGGTTTTAAATTCCCTGGGGACTATTTTGAGTCTGGGAAAAGAACTGTACTTTGAATAGAGTGGGGTGGTATGGTGCATGCCAGAATGTTTCAGGCATAAAAGACAACGGAATAGATGTTGTAAAAGTAGTAATAAAAAACAGCAGACATTGAAAAAAATCTTTGTAGAAATCATCAATGTGGAGACACAAAATGATGGAAAGGCAACATTGGCAAGCAGAGAAAGAGGCCTTGGAACCCCAAAGATGATTTCATTTTGCACCAGAAAGCAACAGCCAGCAATTATCTGGCCTGAGAGAGGGGCAGTGGAACTCAGGTACCAGAGATTGCATTTCTGTCGGGGAGAGGAGCTGTGGAAAGCAAACCGACTTTTCATTTCCAAACCAAGCAAAGCTCAGTCAGATCTTCCCAACACTCATCAGTGATTCTCATTCACACAGGCTTGGGTTCTTCAGGAGGTTTCAGATCGGGGTAAATATTTTATTTACAATAAATAATCCATTTATGGTAAATATTTTTAAAGGTGAAGGAGCCACTCCAGTGAACGTTTTGGTGGGGTTTTCTTTTTTTTTTTTTTTTAAATATATCAGACATTGAATCAATTACTGGAAAATTAAAAGCCTTCTGTGAGAATTGCTTTAAAAAAAACAAAACGACGAGTTTCTCCACCTTAGCAATAGTGACATGTGAAGACAGATCATTTTCTGTGGTGGGGGCTGTCCTGTGCATTGTGGGATGTTTAGCAGCATCCCTGGTCTCTACCCACTAGATACCAGTAGCACCCTCCCTACCCCCGCCCCCAGTTGTGACAACCAAAAATGTCTCCAGATATTACCAAATGTCCCCTGAGGGAAAAATCACCCCGTTGAGAACTGCTGTTTTAAGCAACAGCTCCTCCCACCCATCATGTCTTTCGATCCCTTTTTACCTTCTGTAAGGGTAGACCAACTTCCCAACACGGAATGCCCATGAAGATGCGCATGAACAGGAGTATGTATGTGTGCAATGCATGTGGCCTAAGGCTGAGAGGTAATTTCAAGTTCACTGGAAGGCGATTGTTAACATATCAATACCAGAATAAATCTCCACCCAGCTCCTCCCTCACCATTAGATTCCTGCTTGAATTATATGGCCAGCCACTTTCAATTTTGGATCCAGATTTCTTTATTTATTTGAATACAACAGGAAGAGAGGTACCAGGTTTGAGTTCTGTTCTGAGGATGGGCTACATAATTTGCAGGGCCCAGTGTAAAATGAAAACACGAGCCCCTTGTTCGAGAACTAAGAATTTCAAGATGGTGGCAGCAGAGCATTCAACCAAGGTCGGGCACTACGAGACTGCAATGTTCATCCGCTCATGATGCTTGCCCAGGCACCCTTGGTTGGCGCTGCATCAATTTTGTTGAATCGACTTCCTTGGCACTGCCATCTTTCTCCCTTGCATCGCCCGCATTGCTTCCTGTGAAGTGAAGACCTCAAAAAATAAAATATCACGACCCAATCCATTTCAAGAGAATGCTGAATTGTACTACAGCAAACGTTTATAGAATATATTTTTCAGACTTTCAAAAAAATTCACATGGAAATCTTTTCTACAACATTACAGAAATTAAACACTGTGGCCTTTCACCATATACATATTTTCCTGTAAATATGACAACCTGGAAATATTAACTGCTACTATCCACAATGTGTTAAGTTAGCAAAGAGTGAGCTTTCCACCACAAAATTATAACAAAATCTCTCTTATCCTTATAAAAATAGCCAAAACATACCCTAAACGGCTTGTAGTGAAAATTTGAGTAGTAACTTCTTTATACTGAAAAACATTATAGTCATGGAAACACTGCCCTTCTCATAAATGCTTTAGGTAAACATAGTAAGGCAAACTGTAGCATTTATTGGTACCTGGAGACTGTGATTTATAAAACTCAGAAGCTGAGTTTTAGACCCTTTTACTAAGAACCTGCTAGTGTACAAAGTGCATTAAAATATTTGTTTTCAGCTACCCAAAACAGTATGTAAAAATTACCGAGACAATCCTTTCAGTGTCTTCCGGGAAGGCAAATACACAATACTTTTATATCATAAAAAAAAATTCCATGAAGTTTCCAGAGAATGATTAATTTTTTTCCATCGAGGTGTTCATCGTTCAGATGTGAAATTGTCTGATGTAGCTGTCAAAATATCCATCTGGGTATAAATAATAGAGTAAATATATAGAATCTATTTGTTAAGAAAAAGGAGTGTCTGCAAGTGGAGAAGACGTAAGATACAGTAAGCCGGCATAGGCTCCCACGAATTCCAGATTCGCCATCACATAAGCTTTGGCCACGTGATACTGTGATACCGAAACAATGAGTCCATTGATTTATTTCAGGAAAACAATCGATCGGTTTGGTTAAAAATAAAATCACTAGAAACAATGCCTAAATCCATCAGTCTGTTCAGTCAAAATGGCCGACCCAGTAGCCCAGATAAATATTTTCGTAATTGAAACAATTTAGAAGGTTTTACCGTTCTTCAGGTTGAACCAATGCCAGATTCCCACTCTAAGGGCCACTGTGGAAAGCCTTAATTCATGGACCATTCCAGCGTGTCAGATGAGCATGAGAAAAATTCCATCTGACACTTTATTAGCAGGTTCTATTAGGTCATGTGTGAGAATAACAAGTTTTTCTCCTCTTACAACTCTATGATAAACTCTACTAGAATACTGAGAGACTTCTACATCTTTCAAGACATACTTAATAAAGGTCTGTTTATAATAACTTTTGAGGCATGTGTACTAGTGAATAGTACTTTATGCAACGTCCCTCATCATTACCAACTCATAAATATTGAGTGTTTTTCGGGTGACTTATATTTGGACGTGCTAGTGGTGATCAGTGCCATGTGCTGACGTACTGGAGAGCAAAATCAAGCCAAAATGGGGCTCCGTTTGTGACAGAACAAGTTTCTTTCCTCAGCTCCAGAGGCAAAAGAAAAACAATTTGGGGAGGGTGGAATAGGGCAACTATTAAATGTAGTGAAGACATTTCACAAGTCTAAGGAAAGGTATTAAAAGGAAGGACAAAATAGATTTTATATCATGAAGCAGAATCCTATTTCTGATAAAACACAAGTCAGTCTGAATGTCTGAATAATCAGTAGGATTCAAAGTGACTCTTTCCAGTTGCAATGTCATTCTTAACGTTCTCCCAGAATCCTTGACCCTGGGAGAAGCAGGGCAAAATACAGCCCAAGGTTTCAGAGCCTTTCTTTCCAACATTATCCCACCAGCCATCAGAGAGTAACGAAAGACTTAGCCGTGGCTGGTCCATTCTCCAGAGTCACCTCCTTCCATCCTCTTGCTCTGCATTCTAGTCGAGCCAATAAAAGTTTTTAACCTCACAGTTAAAACACTTCAAAATAAACCAGAGTAAGAAAGCCTGTTTACTTTCCTAAACCAGTTGTCAACTTGCTTCCAACTCATGGCGCCCCCATGCGTGTCAAAAGAGAACTGTGCTCCATAGGGTTTTCAATGGCTGTGACCTTGTGGAAGTAGGTCACCAGGCCTTTCTTTTGAGGCACCTCTGGGTGGACTTGAACCTCCAGCCTTTCAGTTAGCAGCTGAGATCTTAACTGTTTGCACCACCCAGGGACTCCTGTTCATGAGACTTGAAACTATGTTTATTTTGAAAATCATTGCATATTCTGGTGTGTACTGTTGAGGTGACAGGACCTAGCATGGGATGACTATGAAAGCTTATGATGTGAGAAAATGAACAAATGCACAAAACTACAAAAGATAATTTTTTTTTCTCAAGCCCATAGACTGTGATGCAATAAAGGTTACAAAGAGCTGGTAAACTCGAGCAAATGGGCTTCTTAATGTGCAAAACCAAAGAATTCCTAAGGGTTGTAATCTGATTATGTTTCTTTTATAAATAATCTATAAATTTTCCTGTAAATAATAAAAAAAAAGTTTGAAGACATTATTAAAGCCTGTACTTAATACAAAACACAGCAAAAGGAGGGGAGGTGCCCGTTTTCAGACCTATCTGAGCCAATTTTGGGACACTTTTTGGTGAGATTTTGTTAGGCTCTTGAAGCCTGTGCTTTCTCAGTCCCCTAAATGGTGGCCATGCATCTTTTCCTGCCCCAGACAGCAGCTCCACGTGGCCAAACGCTCACGGCAGCTGCTCCGTGCAGTCCAAGTGGTCTGGGATTGGAAGGCCAGTTATAATGGTCAAACATTTGTTCCACACAGTGAAGGTCGGACACACGGGCTGCGCAAAGGCGATGTCGAAGGTGTAGAGGTGGATGGAGTTCAAAGCATCATAAAAGGCGACAGAGCCGTTGTCGTAGTCCAGCAGGATGCCGACGCGCCTCAGGTGGGGGGCTGGCTCAATGGGGATTTCCTTGCTATTGTGTCTTACCACCCAGTTATTGTTACAGCGGCAGAGCGCCCACGAAGCCGAGTTCTTCCCAATCCACTCGTGCTTCGGGGCCGATTTGTAGGCCAGGCCAATGGCATACCTGCAGAAACAAAATAGCAATGACAACAATGGTGAGCCCGATTGCACATGTAGGTTACATCCACTTGATAGCCCTCAGGGATCAAGAAACGTGATCCTCTGTTGTCCCTGTTCCTTCTCTTTAAGTGAAAGCTTGGCAAGAACCCTGACACATGTGTTTCTCATCTTCTTCCCTCCCCAACATAGAGTGGGTGGAAAGAGGTCATTGTATTTATTCACATTCCTGTCTTCAGCTCAAACACTATAATAAAATTTGAACTATGTGTTTTGCTGCCTTTCTTTTTAACCTCATGAAGTTCTACCTACACAATGAATTCTCTAGACCAGCACTGTCCAATGGCGCTTTCCAGAATGACTAAAATGTTCTGCACGTCCAATATGGTAGCCATGAGCCACATGTGGCTACTGAGCACTTGAATGTGGCTGGTGTGACCAAAGAACTGAATTTTAAATTTTATTTAATTTTAATCCCATTAAATAGCCACATATGGCTTGTGGCCACCATATTGGATAGTACAGCTATAGACTTTTTCATTTTCATTTAAATGTTTCAATTGAACCCATGTCTGTCATTTTCCATGACTTCAAGTGCATTTTGCAAAAGGCAAGCTTGGGGAATGATTTCCACTTATGGGGCATACGTTCCTTGTCATCTGTCAGCCTCAGTTTTCTCATCAACAACACAGGCAGGATGGCAGCATTTGCCTGTGACGGTTACTTTGAGGACTAAAGGAGAGAATGCATAGAAAACCCTGGGCACAATGCCTGGTATATAAGATTCAATAAGTGCTATTTTATTAACATTGCCCAATGACACTTTATAATATTGAACCCTAGGATGACTCAAAAGGCCAGGAGCTTAAACAACACTCTATAATGCCTTCCCTCACCAGACCCTGAGTAATTCATCACTGCCGAGAGCCCTTCTGACTGTATTTCCTACTACATTAAAAAAAAAAAAATTCTGAATCTCTTCTCTGATGTTTTAATTTAAGCAGGCAGATAACCTGGTTATTCTAAATGTTCTCTTGCTGTTCAAAAAATAATTTAAGAATTCTGTCTACAAAGTTCTAAGCTTCTTACTCGCTGTTTCCCCTTGAGGTACGTCTCTATAATATTTGTAATATTTCAGTTATTAAGTTAAGCAAAACCCATCACTTTTAATAAAAAGTGTATAATTCAGAGTCCAAGTTTAATACGTTGTAGTGGAAACTAGTCTAACTGGATATTGACATATGGTACCTGACTCAAGGCAAAGAGAAAAACTTAGTCTTTGGGAAATGATATTCTTTAAAGAATCATGTGTTGGATTTAAAATACAATCACTCTAAAGGGTGGCATCTTAAAAAAGAAAATTCATTGAATTCGAAAAGAGGACAGAATCAGTAGTCCGTTAAGCCCAGCATGCCAGCCTGTCTATGGTCAACCCTGCAGCCTCTCTTCCCTCTGCATCCTCCCTGCATCATGGGGAGGGGCCTGGAGCCGCCATTTCTCAGAATCCCCTTTCCATTAGGAGCCCAGGTCAGGCTCTGCTATTGTGAAGCCCTTACGCAAGATCCAGGAGGTCTACGACGAGGCAACAGACAGCAGACGGGAAGTTTGTGCAGCTTCCAGGGAAGCTCCTGGATGCACCTGCCTCTCTGCTGTCAGCCCCTTCCCCTCGACCACAGCCCGGCCCGACTTCATGAACTCCCCAGTCCTTCCAGGAGTTGTGCAAGCTTCTGGCTCCTTACTCCTTGGAGTAGCTAGAGTGACTTCTGTTTCCCTGCTGAACCCTAACCCATACACTTAGGAAAGGTTTTCATTTTGCCATTTTAAGTATTTTCCCCAAAGACGCTCTCTGTGCCCTGGCAGACACCATTTCCTTTTTTCCGAGGATTTGGAACCTGCGTTTTCGTCACAAAATGACCCTATAGGTCTGTATTATTTCCTTCTTTTTGGAGCACATCATTTTCATTTTTCATTAAAGAATGCTGAGTTTCGTTCCCATTTGAACCTTACCTGAACCCTATGAAGTAGCTGCAGCAGGTATAACTGCCTTCATTTAGCAAACGGGAAAACTTATCAAAGGTTAACACAGTTAATGAGGAGCAAAATCCAGACTCGTGGCCCCCCTGCCCCAGAGTTCTGACTTACTAACCTTTGCAAGAGCCCACTGTTGCTCGTTTAGTTCACACCATTTCATCAAACGGCAAGCCCCCATTAACAGCATCAGAGAGTAAGAAAATAACTAGGTGTATAGTCCATTAACCAAAGGAAAATACCATTATATTATCATTAATCTGTACAACTATGTACATATTTCCACAGAGCTTGAAAGGTGCAGGCAGAATGTAACGTTCCATTAAGTCATGCAGTGAAACATGGAGAATTCACAAAGTATAAAAATTACACTCCACAGAGCAACGCTAACATGCCCCAGTGCACGGATCATAATGTACATGTTCATTTACAGTCCAGACTATATTTCACGAGAAAATATGTGTCATTAGCTGCTGCAAATCAAGGGGTCTGCTGGCATTTAATCCTAAAGGTCACCCCTTCCTCGCTAACATCTCCCGGGAAATGGTCAACGACTTTCTACGTGAAAATTTTCAGGAATTGACACAGTCGGCTTTGGAAAGGTCCAATATGCCGTGATGAATTTTAGACACCCCCCTCCTGCCCCCCATGAGTTAGTTTTGACATCTGGAGGGTATTTTCAAGGATACCGCTGACCTGTATTTATATAACTGGAGTGGTCTGGTGGAATTTCCCGTGCTATTCATCAATGGCGGTGAGATCATAACGATCAGGTATCATTTATCATAAATAATTATTAATGAGGGTGTAATTATTTAGACACTGGATTCCAGCCCAGATTAATACAGCACACGGATTAATGAGAAACGTTTGCTTTTTTGCACCTGCCATCCACTTCTATCTTGCCCAGTGCAGCTAAAAACTAGAAATGTCAGTGGAGTTCAGAGCCTAATGGGGCAGAAGGATCTGTTCTCCACTCTCTGGCAGGATGTCGGAGCAGGAAATGATGTGGGCGAGAGGAATCGTGAGAATAACTTACAACAGAGGAAAACCTACTAGTTCGGCCAATATTGGTACCATTATCAGGAGAAATGATTCCAGTTCTTAGATTTTGATTGGCTTAGCCTAACACTATATGAGAGGTAGACACATTCATTGCATTATTTGCACAGACTTGAATCAAAAGGTCTTTGAAAAAAATATATATGTAAATAAGAAGTGTTTGATCCTTATATCAAAAATAACACTGTTATAATACTCACCGCCTTCGGGTTTTGCAGTTTGAAATTTTTGTTTTATTTTTAAGGCAAGGATTAAGCTGTCATCTCACTAAGTACGCCATTGTAAGCCCCAAAGAGTACTTATAATGTTTCTAGAACATATCACCGTGGTTTGGATAGTAGCCTAGCCTAGCATGGTGGTTAAGAGCAGGGATCACCAATCTATGGCCCGCGGGCCAAATACAGCCCACCATCTGTTGTTTTTAATGGTGGAAACAAAACATTTTCCATTTCAATAATTTTTACATGAACACTTTAGTGATGTTCATTACATTCATCATGTTGTGCAACCATCACCACTATCCATCTCCAAATTTTTCTATCACCTTTAACAGAAGCTCAGTGCCTCCTAAGCCACCTGTTTTTATAAATAAAGTTTTACTGGGACACAGCCACTCCTATCCATGTGTGTATTGTCTGTGGCTGCTTTCCCACTGCAACGGCAGAGTTGAATAGTTGCAACAGAAACCATATGGCCCCAAAATCCGGAAATATCGACTCCCTGGTCCGTTAGGCAATGTTTGCTGACCTCTGGTTAAGAGCTTGAACCCTGTTTGCAGCCTTCCAGACTCTGCCACCTAGAAGCTTGGTAATCTTGGGCATGTGCCTCAGTCAGCCCATCCGTAGAATGGAATAATACTGGCACCTCCCTTGTTAGTTCTGCTAGGATGAATAAATCAGTTCGCATTTGTAAAACGCTTAGATCAGCCCCTGGCACATAGTTGTGCTAAACAAGGGCTTGCTAAATAAAAATAAGGTGCTCCCTTTTTGATCAATAACAAGCAGACAGTTGTGAGACAGATGGCCAGAGTAAGGAGTACAGTTTGTGGCTATGGAGTAGGCTTTTCTTTGTGAGGTTAACTGATTCCAGTGTAGATTGCACTCTGACCTTTTGCCCTTCAGCTTAGAGAACTCAGTGGGCTAAAGTCAGTGGGCTGGATCTAACTGCCTTTGCAATTATTTCCAGCCTATGGTCACTGCTTCACGCTCACCCCTCCCCCCTTAACTATTTGCACCAACCGGCTCAGTCTAGAGTCAGAAAACGTATAAAACAACAGAAATTAGTTTGTTTTTTTTTAAATGATGATGAGTAATGTGTTAGAGCAAGGATCAACAAACTTTTTCTGTGAAGGGCCAGGAGTAAATATTTTTGGTTTTGTGGGAGATACTGTTCTGTCGTATTTACTCAACTCTGCCCTTGTGCCTCAAAAGCAGCCATAGGCAATAAATAAAAGACTGGGGGTGGCTGGGTTCCAATAAAACTTTATTTGCAAAAACAGGAGGCGGGCTGGATTTGGCCCATGGGCTGTAGTCTGCAGACCCCTATTTTAGGGCATGAAAGGGCAGTGTCAGCATACTAGCTCTTCCAGGGACATGGGCTCTATAATCTTGGCTGCAATTCTTTCCATAAATAAAAAAAAAAATGAATGGATTTTAAACAAGTTATTTTTCATATTGGTCGAATGGGGATTAGATGATTGTTTGGCAAATATTCACTTTCTCCTCCCAACTATACACTTTGCTACACCACTGGTTTTGGACTTGGCCATATGACTTGCTTTGGCCAATGTTCTTGGGTTTCTGCTACCACATTGAGAAGAACATAGTTTGGGTACCCCAGGGGTCCAAGTTGCACAAGAAAACACACAGAACAGACCTAGACCCAACCTACCACTTAAAGCAAAGCCCCACTGAGGTTAGCCTCGATTAGCTAACCCACAGCTGTGTGAGTGAGTAATAACGAATGATTGCTGTTTGAAGCCCTGAGTTTCGGGGTGTTTGTTATGCAGCATTATTGTAAAAATAGCTGACTGACAAGCTTTTCTGCATATTATTCTTCACAACGGATCCTGGTATTGGTTGATGCTCTGACAAAGTACAGAATGAGATGTGCCTTTTCATAACTGGAGGACAATAGATATAAGTTGCCTACCATGTGCTTCCGCTTATGACCACTTCCCAGTAATGCCGGCCACTATCAATGAACACGTTTCCAGCTACGCCATAGCTCCCTTGGCTGGTGAAGCGTTCAGGCGTGTGACTCTTTTTGGATGAAGACTCATCACGTTCTACTGTCAAGTTATCATGGGACACCTTCAGTTTTCGATGTGCAGACTTGGGGTCTAGCTTAAATGGTTGGCCTGGAAATAAGTTCACAAAACAAAAAGAGATGAGGAAGAGTTCGCTGACATGAACGATAATGTATTTTCACGAAGAGATTTTAAAAATAGGGATAAGTTAACTCTCCCTGGAGCATGCCTTCTATCACAAGGTGATATTTGAATAATGATTTCAAATTTATAAACAACTTACAAATACATTTGCTTGCTCAGTTTCATAATACTTAAGATATACATAAGGATCAATAACTCACAAAGTATCATGCTAGGCACGGTAAACTGGTGAATAAGAACACGTCCCTGCCTTCATGAGCTTCCAGTTTGTCAGTTCTAATGAATCTTAAGTAATCTTAAGTATCTTAAGTAAACCTGATGAAGCACAAACCAGATGTCTCAGAGATATACTCGGCAGAATTTCACCTCTGTGTATGTATTTATTCATTGTTTGCCGACTTAAACTTGAAAAATGTTTCCTTCTTTACCAGCAGAAACATTGAGAGGTAAGATAAGCTTAATGTTTAAAAGTACGTGCCTTAAAACACAAATGTGTCTTGAACAAGACAGCTGGCTACTTTGAGTCTCAGTTACTTATTTATACAATGAACTGTTACTCTTTTCTTCCTGTTCTATAGATTTTGGGACACAAGACTGCAGGAATCTCCAGCTTTTTACCTGACCTACAGATTTTGGACTTGCCAGCTTCCCATAATTCCTTAAAATCTCTCTCTCCTTATATATATATATACATACATATGTGTGTGTTTGTGTATTACTGGTTCTGTTTCACTAGAGAACTCTAAGACAGTAATAAGGACTGACGTGCTTTATCCCCCAATAGTCTATAGGCCCCTTGAGGGAAGTACATCTTAAGGAGTGGAACGTGTTCAGTTTGCCATAGTATCCTCAGCATTTTGCACAACATCTCAAAATACACTAGATGCTGACCATATTTCTTGAAGGAACAAATACACGTTTGAGTGCAAATCAAATAAAAGCTGTTGATCTCTAGTATGCATAGGTATTATGCCATGGGCTGTGCAGTTACAAAGAAACATTTATTTTCTTACGCACTTAGAATTGCTTTGAGCTTGTCTTTGTAACAGCTCCTAAAAGAAGCTAAAATGTCCCCATATTGTAAATAAACAAACACTACAGGTAATGTGGGATCTGGAGGGGATCCTGGAACAGGAAAAGACAATAGTGGAAAAACTGGCGAAATTTGAATAAAGTCTGGAGTTTAGTTAAGAATAATGTACTGATGTTAATATTTTAGTTGTGACAAATCTACCCCATTTATGTACATTGTTAACATTAGGGGGAGCTGGGTGACGAGTATACGGAACTCTCTGTACTATCTTTGACACTTTTCCATAAATATAAAAGTATTCCAAAATAAAAAGTTTATTTAAGAAAAAAAGAAAGAAAAACGAAGAAACAATCCACAAGGCCACATGGGTACCAAGTGGTGGAACCTCAGTCTTCTCCACCTTCACCCAGTGCTCTCTTTACACCCCTTTGCTGTCTCTGAGACCCAACCCATGCTCTACAAGATGCTAGGAAATCAAGGATATAAGTTAAATCGAGGATCCTTTTGAAAAGCAGTTAATTGTTCCTGTTGACTGGCAGGCAAGCCCATTACATGGCGCCATATTAACATACTCCAATTTGCTTTCTCTTGGGAGGTCTTACCACAAAGAAATACCATGTTACATAACAAAGCATTTCTAGATGAAAAGATTTTAAGAAGAAAGAGAAAACAAAACAAACGTGGACAGGGACAGAGAGAGGGAAATGGCAATATCACAAGACTCACACACAGGCAGGATCATTCTCTGTGGTGGGGGGCTGTCCTGTGCATTGTAGACGAGCATCCCTGGTCTCTACCCACTACATGCCAGTAGTTCTCCCCGCTAGTGTGACAACCAAAAATGTCTCCAGACATTGCCAAATGCCCCCTGAGGAGCAAAATCATCCCCAACTGAGACCCACTGGCTAGAGAGATAGCTGATGTAAAAGAAAGAATTTCTGAAGAAAGAGCTACTCATTTGCTATTCAGCTATGGAAAACAGTCATACCTGTCATCAGTATAGCCCCTGTATTGATGGCAGATATTACTGTGCTGGGCTTTATACACACATATATATATTTGAATTCTCACAGGAACCCTTCTAGGTTGATTTATTTAAACCACGCAAAGCCAGAAGTGCAGAGATGTTAGATGGGATAGAGTTGGTTTTGGAACCGAGAGCTATCTGATGCAAATGCCACAACTCCACACTGGCTCTCTGCGGGCCTTGAGGGGCTTGCTTGCTTGCTTTGGTCAAGATGCCTGAGACAGAGAGAAGGAAAAGAAAGAGGGAGAGAGACAGCTGAAAAGAGAGCAGGTGAGGGAGGCACACTCTGCTGAGCTCATGTCACTTACTGTTTGTCTTCAGCTTCCCAGGCTCGCTGCTGCGGCTGCCTGCCTGGTTGATGGCCTTGACAATGAAGATGTACTTGGTGCCACTCTGCAGACCGTGCACCGTATAGTGGTTCTGCTTGATGTTGGGCACGATCATCCAGCTATCGGCTGAATTACACAGACCTGCAGACCAATCAGACACAGCGCAACTATTTAGTGCAAGCATGGGGCAAAATTCCCATGGCTGAGTAATTTCAGGTTATTTGAACCATTTAAGAATTGGTAAGCAGAGTGCTTTGTCACCTGCTCCTGTTCACACAGACCAGAGTTTGCAGTATAATAATTTCCGGTGGCTTTTCCTTCTAAAGCACACAGCGTGGTTGTGTTGTTGGATGCCATCAAGTCTATTCTGACTCTTAGCGATCCCATGTGACAGAGTAGAACTTAGTTGAGACAGTGAATAAACTCGGGTGCTCTTGGCTCAGTGCTCTGCCCATAGTTGAAGATCAGCCTGGATCTATTACTATATATTCCTATTGTGCTTTACGGCGCCCTGGTGGCACAGTGGTTAAGTGCTCGGCTGCTAACCGAAAGGCTGGCAGTTCAAACCTACCCAGCGGCTCTACCGGAGAAAGACCTGGCGATATGCTTCTGTAGACTGTAGCCTTGAAAACCCTATGGAGCAGTTCTACTCTGTCACATGGGGTCGCTATGAGTCAGAATCGATTTGACAGCGTGCAACAACACAACAACATTGTGTGCTTTAGACGGAAAAGCCACTGAAAATTATTATGCAGCAAACTTTGGTCTGTGTGAACAGGAGAAGCAAAGGTGATCTGCCCAATGTCTTAAGCACTGGATATGTGCACAGTGCATTAGGAGACGCTGTGGGGAAGGGGGAGGGTGAAAAGAAAGCAGAAAAGACCCACTGATTCCTCCCACTCTACCTCCGTCACCATTCTTAGTTCTTATGCTGAGCATTGAATTTTGGACCTCACCAAAAGCAAGGTTGGAAGAGACCCAAGTAATGTATGAGAAACTGACTTCACTAAGATAGATGTAGTAGATTGCATTTTTGCTTCCAATTCTTTACCCAGCCCTGTATCCAGGTCTAAGCGACTTTGCAGTTGCTCCCACTAAAGAGGTGTAATGCATTTCCTTGTCACATGACTTTGGACTTGCCCATATGACTGGCTTTGGCCAATAGGATGAGGCAAAGATGACAATCCATCTAGTAACAGGGGTTACTTGGCCTTGAGGGTTTCTGCTTGCCCCCTTATGCCTCTGTCTTGCCCTGGGGAGAACATTCCCTGGAGACCCTGTTCATCCCAGCAGGGGGACAAGAGACTTAGGGAACGCCCAGTCAATGCAGGAGCGAGTCCTGTTGAGAGCTGTAGAGCCATGCCTTGGAGCTCAGCTTAGATCAGCCAACCGTAACCAAACCTTCAACAGAGGAGCTAAGAAAATGATCATCGAGGTTGTTTGGGATCCAGCATTATTGTGGCTCTAGTTAACTGATTTGAGGTAGCACAGGTAGGTGGTTCAGTGGTAAAATTCTCGCCTCACATGTGGGAGACCTGGGTTTGATTCCTGGTCAATGCACCTCATGTGCAGCCACCACCTGTCTGTCAGTGGAAGCTTGCGTGTTTGTATGATGCTGAACAGGTTCCAGCACAGCTTCTAGACTAAGACAGACTAGGAAGAGAGGCCTGGCAATCTACTTCCAAAAATCAGCCAATGAAAACCCTGTGGATCAGAATGGTCTGATCCACAGCCAATCATGGGGATGGTGCAGGACAGGCAGCATTTTGTTCTGTTGTGCATGGGGTCAGCATGAGTCAGGGGTTGACTCAATGGCAGTTAACGACAACTGTTAACTGACTCAGGAGACAAATGCCTACGACAGCCTTGGGCAGCAGCACCTAGGGATGCTCAGCGCTAGAGCAGACCTTGGAAAAGCATCGACAGGGATTTTTGACCAGTTGCATCCCTACGAGGGCTGGTCCCAGAGTCAGGGGAGCCGCTGCTCTGGTTGCGCTTCACAGGATGTAGGTTGGGGAGCCGGTCAAGGATTTATGATGCCTGGAGGGACATGTAGGAAAAAGGAAGCTGGTTTTGTTTTGTAGCTGGCTGAGGCTGAAAACATTGCTTTGGTACCAGGCCCAACTCTCCCCTCTCCACCCATCCATCTCCACTCCAACAGGACCTTTTTCCAGCCCCTGGTGTCTGAGCTGTCAGGAAGTTTCCTCACTGTTGAATTTCCTTCGCCAGTCCGGGGGAGAGGGCTGGGCCCCTCCACTTCCTGAGCTGCTCCCAACTGGCCTCCAGCCTCCTTCCCTTTCAGTTTATTTGCAAGTCAAAGGGCTAGCTCTTTTGATCTGGAGGCACCTTCCATCTTAGGATACTCTCAAGAAGCAGCCCCTTAACCTTGTTTTTTGTTTCGCCTCTGAGAACATAACAAAACCTTTCTGTAGAAAGAAAAGCACAAAGGCACATGTCCTCCGATCTACAAATATTTGCATGGCATTTCAAGATATTCCCAGCCTCGCTAAAATCTGTCTTTGAATCCTACTAAACACTTTTCTCCAACGTTTGAGTTCACATTGTTCATGGTATACTCATAGTTGAGAAAAACTTAAAAGTGTTTTGTCAGTTGTGAAAATTTATCTCATAGGATTTGTATCTTGAGTGCATCGTAATTTTAGGCTCATCTCAAGCTTTTTTTTTTTTTAAATTTGATTTTGTCAATTTTCTATCACCTCTTTTCATTTCCACCTGTGAATATTTTCACCAGGACCGCCAAACTTGACTTGAGCTCGACTGTGTGTAAGTGTGTGTATGAGTGGGTATCTGCTTATATTTGAAAAAGTAGAGAAACTCGAGGCACAGTCCCCACCCCCTCCAATTTTCCCTAGCTCCTAGCCTTCTGTTCCTTTACCAGTTCTCACTGGTATACTGTTAGTCGCTGTGTTGAGTCGGCTCCGACTCATGGAGACTTTATGTATAACAGAATGAAACGCCGTCCAGTCCTACAACCTCTTCATGATCATTGGTATGTTTGAGTCCATTGTTGTGGCTACTGTGTCAATCCACCTCATGGAAGGTTTCTCTCATTTTTTGCTCAGCCTCTACTTTACCAAACGTAATGTCCTTTTCTAGAGATTGGTCTTTCCTGATGACATGTCCAAAGTAAGTGAGTGGAAGTCTTGCCATCCTCACTCCTAAGGAGCATTCTGGTTGTATTTCTCCTAAGACTGATTTGTTCATTCTTCTGGCAGTCCATTGTATATTCAATATTCTTTGCCGACACTACAGTTTGAATACATCAATTCTTCCTCAGTTTTCCTTTTTCACTGCCCAATTTTTGAATGCATCTGAGGCTACTGAAAAGACCATGACTTGGATCAGATGTACCTTAGTCATTAAAGTGACGTCTTTGCTTTTAAAACCTTAAAGTGGTCTTTTGTAGCATAATTGCCCAAAGCAATACATTGTTTGCTTTCTTGACTGCTGCTTCCATAGACGTTGATTGTTGATCCAAGTAGAATGAAATCCTTGACAACTTCAGTTTCTTTTTCATTAATCTTGATGTTGCTTATCGGAAATTGTTTAGTAACATTGGTCTATATTCCCATGTATAGTCCCACGTAGTAGGAAGAGTCCCGACTATATATCCCTTTTGAGCCTTCTCACCTTACCTTTCCCTTGAACAAAGCTGTAATAAACTCGGTACTTCTGGATAATTCCACAGCCAAATATTAGATTTGGATCCAACCCATGAAGGGACATTTTGAACTCTGACTCTGGGCCCCAAGAGGCCTGTAACTCACTTTAGGTATTCAATAAGAGTATTATTACTACAGTAATAAAACAAAAAAATTAAGTTTTTATATTGCTTAGGATAATCCACTCATATTCCTCGACCTCTGTCAACAGCAGGCAGGCAGGAATGAAAACAATCACAGCATTCAGTAGAATCAAATGAGAATCCTCTCAATTTTACTGGTTTTACACTGTTCCTGTTTAATTGCATTTGTTACAATAAAATGACTGTTGTGGTCAAAGAAAGCAAATGTAAAAATCTTTCAATAAACTTTACATCACTGAACAACTCAAAAAGCTGGAGTTTAATGTGGTGGTGGGAATGCTTTCAGCAACATCAGAAAGCAGATGTCTGAAATTGCTTCAAACTGCAGCTTGGCCTACAATCCAAAGTCTTAACCCAACCAAGACTGAATGTTTCAAAAACCTTTGACCAAACAAAAAAAGGGACTTCGCTATCCTTATTATTTTGAAGAGGTCACTAATTTTCCTTGAATATAAAAATAGCAAGAATGTTATGGAGTAGTAAAATTTGAGTGGATAGCTGTACACTGGCACAATCTGCCTTCATGAATATTAACAACTATTACTGCTTAGGCTTGCCTTTATATTATCACCAGGATAATAATCGAGAAGTTGATTAAAAATTCCAAGAAAGCAACATTGGCAATTTTCTTTGGGTGGCTGGAGTAAGTGGGGTGCCTTGGAGTGCACCATTATTACATTGCTAGTCTTGGTCTTTTGCCAGTACCACTTAACTTCTTGCATATGGCATCTAGCTTTCTTAAGGGAGTCTTCTCTGTCTTGATACCCCACTGTGTCAGGACTGTTGACTAGGTTTTATTCATCTCTTTATGAAACACCCACACAACCATCCTAACTGAAACTTCACTTTTCTCCAAACTCGTTTTCAATCATCTTTGGGGGTGTTCTAACAGTCACCTTCTCCAATTCAGCTTTGAAGTATTAAAACAACAATGGAACTTGGAAGATAATTAGTTCGTAATGAAACTGAATTAAGTTATTCGATTTTGTACTCTTTTTTTTCCTGGTTCACAAAGCTTTTTGGTTGTGAGGTACAAAGCATTCCTCTACATACTGCTGCTCATTAGGAGATCCTAATTACATATGGGATTACAGAGCCTCATACAGCAACCATCATCCTGCTGTGAAACCCTGTGTGTAAAACATGACGCAATGCGGACACCCTTCAGAGAGGCCGCACGCCAGCTTCTCACACCCTTTGTGTTTTCTAACAGATTGGACAGAGGAGAACATTCTTTTCCTTCTCCATAAAAATAATGTGTGTCTAAAAACGTTCATGAACTTTTTCTAAATGACTAAAATAAATTAAATACGGA